TCTCGGACTCCGGCTCCCTCGCTTCTTCCTTCCCTCTTCGCTCTCTAATTCCCCATGCAGCCGTGCCATTGAGCGCCCTCTGCTGGGTGTTTTTTGCAAGGACATTTTTGTTTGCTCACTGTTTCTGTTGGACCATTTTTTCCGCAATACCCCGGCTGGATTTTTGTTCTTTTGAGGAATTTCCCTTTTTGTTTGGACGTATTAAAAATAAACACTTTTCCTGCTGAAGCCTTTCATAAAAATGTGAGAAGTCAGTAGTAAGTTCCCTTTCAGATAGCAACATGTTTGTTTGTGTTATTTACAGAAAGGAGGCAAGGTGTCAATTTCTCGTGCTGTTGATCGCTTGAGGCGCAAACTTGAAGAGTGTGAGATCTGGCTCCTAACAAACACGCCATCTTTTACTTTAGACCTACATAGCACCAGTGGAAAGGTAAAACCACAACAGTGTCACACGTGAACACACGAGCACATTCTTTCTATCCAACAAGCATTCATTTTTTTCTATTCAGTTTATATATATATATATATAAAACACTTTTAAAGCAATTTTCAAAATATATATTGTTCCAAAGCAGTTCATACCTGTTAACAGAATAAGCTTTAATACCCTAAATTAGTTTAAATGAATTTAAAGGTTACAGTGGCAAGTAAAAAAAGTTAACTTAACTTAAAAACTTAACTTAACTTAAAAGTTGTTTAGTTAGATGAGGAAGAAGCCTTGAGAGGAACCAATGTCTTGTGAACAAAAGACCTACAGTAAGTATAACTACATTGCAAGCCCTTTCACAACAAATGTGAATATTCAGAATGCCTATAAAAGTCATGTCTATTTCTGATTTGAAATTAAGTAGCAAACATGATGAAGTAGTCAATTAAATATTAATTAATTTAAAATAAAATAATATAAAATCGTGTAACTGTCATTTTTAACCAGAAAATATTAACGTAGATAAAGCATTGTGTGAACGTTTTGAAAAAAAAAAAAAAGTAAAAATCGTTGAGGTTTAAAGGTATGGGCTTGATAGATAGATGTAAATAAGATGTTTGCAGTTCATGAAGCCTTTAAACTACACATCTCTCCGGTTATTGGTCAATAATGATTTTTCCTTCCACAGAGTCACACTATCCGACTGTTTTCTTTGTATGACCTGATTGAGTGGAAAGAAGCCATTGAGAAACAGAGTGGAAACTGTGAGTGCATCTTCATCCAGCTGTGTACTTTGTCCTGATGATTGATTGCATGATTATAACCCCATGCATTTGTGTGTGTGTTTCACAGGTATCGAGACAGTTCCTCCAGACCTGCTGTCTGTTACCGGTTCCTGTATCAAACTCAGAATGACTCAACAACCTCCCCTTCACTGCGTTCAGTCCAGTAAAGCTCCCTCTGTATCTTTATTTCAGTAAATAGTGCTCTCAATCACACTTGTGCACAATGAACACTCTAGCTTCTATTGTGTCTTTCACAGATGAAAGTGCACATATATGTGGGAGCTTATATGTGATGGTTCAATCGGCGTGTGGTCTGCAAAACCCGAGCAGTAAGTGACAAAACACACGTTGTCTGTACAAGAATAAAAGTTTCCGAGCCACACATCAAACCCACAAACTCATCACATACATTCTGCACTAAATATGAAGCACGTGTTGCTTTCATCAAGAACTGTTGCCAAAGTAACACACCACAAAAATACAATGTGCCCAAATAAGCTAAAAATAAATTATCAAACAAAAAATACCATCTATTTTCCAATTAAAATGCTATAGTATGTATGCATTGAACAGTATCTTCCAATAAGCTTCTTGTCTTTATTTCATTTGACCTTTCAGGTGCATATGTGTGTGTGGAGGTAGACGGCTTTGAGTTTTACGACAGACAAAAACAAACCTGCCTTTCAGCCTTCTGTGTTACACCTCAATGGGATGAGGTGAGTGGGTAAAAGCCATTATGCATTTTTAGAAATTAGATCATGCATTCTTTGATTTGCCTTGTATTTAATATACTGAATTGATTTGAATGTATCACTATGTGTTATTGTGTATAGGAGCTTATGTTTCAAGTGGAGGGAGCACGGCAGCTGTTCATGGTATTTGTGTCTCAGTATGAGAACGGCATACAGGATGACATTGTGGGCAGGGCGGTGTTAAATGTGAGTTCATATACTTTTTGCTTCATTTTGTGTGCTTTTAAATGAGTTGTTTATCCAAACATAAACATCTTGTCATCATCTCTCCATCTTCATTTTAAACCGGTATTATTTGTGTGGAAATAAACCTGATTTTTAAAATAATTGACTGGATTCACATAAAACAGTCATAAGATTAAACCACCTTTAGATTAAATTGCACAAATGTATACAGTTTTAGATCAGTCTGTTCATTTATTTATTAATGTGGTGCATAAAAGAGCCATATATGTATGTGTTTACAGCTGGACACTGACAACATATTTAAGAAATGGAAGAAAGTCACTTGTTCTTTGGGCCAAGTTGATGTGACCTTGTCAATCAAGTACATGCCCCACCCTCTCGAGCCTCCTAGCACCACCCCTCTAGGTCAGGAACCAGTGTACTGTGTGCCGATTGGACAAGTGGCAATGTGAGTTCACAATCCAAAAATTCCTAAGACTATTAAGATGTTGCAATAATATTATGTTGTTAATAATTCAGTACTCTTTACATTTAGTCTTTTTACTCAGTGGCTCCAAAAAGTAAACACTTACGCCACAATTAAAAATGCATGGTCGGTGCCAATAGCCTCGTTGGCAGCACGCCGATATGTAGTGCCATTGTGCTTTGGGCATCCCGAGTTCAATTCCTGGCTCGCAGACCTTTCCCAATCCCATGTCCCCTCTCTCCCTTGCTTACTTACTATCTTACTTGCTTGCTTACTATCTTACACTTACTATCCATTACTCGTCTTCAGCGTCACATGATCTCTGTACTGAATGATCCCATGAACTGTAATGTAATATAATCATTATAGTGTTTCTTATTGTGATCAGTTGAAAACGTGTGTGTGTGTGTGTGTGTGTGTGTGTGTGTGAGAGAGAGATTTTTTGAAAAATAGATTTTTGAAATTTGAAAGTTATACATCATCTGAAAGCTGAATAAATAAGCTTAAGTATTTGTTGGGATAGGGTGATATTTGAATCTGAGGGAGCAAAAAAATCTAAATACTGAGAAAATCACCTTTAAAGTTGTCCAAATTAAGTTCTTAGCAATGCATATTACTAAT